TTATACTAATATTGCATATAATTCGGGATCGCTGTAGACATTTATTTCAGTCGCATTTTTGACTCACAAGTAATGATCGAACCTCCTTAAGTTATAAGAAAAAATTACTAAGGCTCAGTTTCCACTGTGCGCGTCACGTGTCGCGTCATCTGTCGTTAACCAATATAAACATCCCATGACAAATAATGTAATAAAATAGGATGTTTTGATTGATCGCGACGCGTGAAGCGCTCAGTGGAAACTCAGCCTAAAGGTGAAATTTCATGGGCACTGAAAAGTAGCAGCAGATCGTACTGATTGGCTACAAAATAGAGAAGTTCTAGGAACTCGAGAACTTCTCTATTTTATAGCCAATCAGTACAATCTGCTGCTGCTTTTCATTGCCCATGAAATTTCACCTTAAGAGTCATGTCCTTGATGACATATTTCAAAATTATGGGAATTGGGGGTTAGCTCCCTAATACTAAATATTTACCGTATGATCATACATGTGGTGATCCATCCACACAACAATTAGATTGGGTTAGGTTAGTTTTTTTGGAAAGGGAGCCCCCCCTCGCAGGGGCAGAACCCGCTGTCTATATACGGTATCATAAAATTATATACTATTATTCATTATATTTTCTTTGCTAATAACTTTGTAATAAAGTAACGACCCCCGACTTTTATCAACAGTTTTGGATTTAGGGGGCAAGAATACATAAAATTTACCTCCTTTCAATTGATTTCTCATAGGCTCTAATTGTGGAGTTTTACCAATATTCATTACAAGAGAAATAATGTTAAAAAATATATGAAAGGTACAGGGAAAAAATGATCAAAGTCTACTTTTTGTCAAAATTGATCTGATCATGTTATCTTGTAGCATTTTCAAAAAACTTTCATAATTCTTATCCGGTTTGATCAAGAATAGTTACAATTCATTAGAAAGAAAACCGAAAGATGTACCATACTGAGAAAAAAAGATCATAATCCACGCGCTTGTTGGTAAGAACCATAGAGTCCAACATACAAATGTATAAACACTAAGAGTCACCGCACAAGACTCTCGTATGGTCACGTAGCATAACGTAACGTGAGCCAACGCACAAGAAACGTATTGGTTACGGCCGTTACGGCGTTATACGTTTCTTGTGCGTTGATCTACGTTACGTTACCATGCGAGAGCTTGTGCGGAGGCTCTAACCGATACGTTTCTTGTGCGTTGACTAACGTTACGTTACGTTACGTGACCATACGAAAGTCGTGTGCGGAGGCTCTAACAAGGAGAACTTGGTAACGCCGATATGAACCATACATTAACAGTTTACAGGAAATGGGATTTTCTGAGTATATACCTAAAATAATATTAATTATTGATGTAAAAAAAAGTTAGTTGTTAATTAATATATACTTTTTATTCATCAAATTTTTAACATTATATTCTATGAAAAATCAATAAAAAGTCTTGACTATTTAAAAATTTGTTTTTTAACCCATTCACCGCTTTAGAGAATACTCGCGCGACGATATCGTCCGTCAGACGCTTTGGACGAGAATACTTGCGCGACGATATCGCCCGTCAGACACTTTGGACGAGTTAACTCGTTTGTTAAGGAAACTAGTCAGACTCTCAAAAGTCAAGTCGTAAGCGCTGTAATGTTACCGTTTGTGTTATTCCATGCTTTCGAATTTATCACACAAAAAAACATCAAATAAATTAGTATTTTTTCTTTATGCATTTTTTCCTTTTACTTCTCCTCTTACTTCAAATATTAATATAAAATAAAACATTAGTTGCTGTTGATTAAACAATCTTGATTTTTAGTCAATATTTGTAGTCAAATTATAAAGATTTGGTTGACAAACTTGTGACCCAAGTTAACTCCAAAGCGTCTGATGGGCAATATCATCGCGTGAGTATTCTCGTCCAAGGCAGTTAACCCTTTCGGTACTGAGAGTGACTATAGTCTGTCCATTATACTGCTCGCTGCGGCCGAGCAGTGATTATAGTCACTGTCCACATGCTGCTCACTGCGGCCGATCAACTTGAAATGTTAACTTGAAATGCTTCTGTTGATAAATTTTTTAAATTGTTTTTGTTATTGAGTTTTATTACATATAATAATTGAAGGCGTTGAATGTCGAGTGCCTAGCTCTCTCGGCCGAATCGCGTATATCGGCAGATCGACGCTTCGGCCACTGGAGAGCCGTTTCCGTCCCGGTCGCTCCGGCCGCTAGAGGACCGTTCGCGTCCCGGTCGCTCCGTACAGAAAGGGTTGATGCTTCTTTGCTTATAAATAACAATGATCTATACTCGATGTTGAAATATTTTTTGTTATTAACTCTTAAATGGTTAGTGAATAGTCAATAATATTTTAGGTATATACTCAAGAAATCCCCCCTTATAAACTGTAAATGTATCTACAATCCACATTCCGTAGTTCCCAAATTCTCCTTGTAAGTAAACACTATGCATTCCGATGTTCACTGCCAGTACTTATATTTCAATAGCTTTCTAAGATATCTTGAAACTTAAAATTGCACTTTTCTCGAAATTGCTCTGGATGGACATTAATCATTTTTCTCCTGTATTCTTCATACGAAATCAATATTTTGGCTCTCTTATGTAATATAATCATTTTAACTTATTGTTAGTGACTTTTTCAATATGCTCAATTATTTTAACACCTCTTTACCCAGGTAGCACAACGTCGTCAATTAGACGTCTTTTTTACGTACGCATTCGCCAGAACGTACGTCAAACTGACAGTCAGTATGACGTCTAAATGATTGACGGCCATATATTGACGGCCATTTGTCACAA